CCTCTCCTGGCCAGACCCAGGATGCACCAGGCATTGCGCAGCCTTGAACTCGGACAGGGAGTAGCATTCTGGGTGGACAAGGAGCGATAGGGAAGTTTCCAGTTGATAGGCAGAAGAAAAAGAGGCAGAGGCAGCCTTTTTTGGGAAATGAAGGAGATCTTCAGTGATGTCTTTAATTAACAGACTAAACGTGACTGGGATTGCGAAAAGACCATGGCATGCAAGTGGTTATTACTGCAATGATAAACCACAATATAGGACCCTGGGCAAGGGAGACCTGGAAGCATCCAAAATCCATTCCTATCCTGCAGTCCTTACTGGGAAACTGAGGGCTGTAAAACCATGTAGGTGAGAAAACTGGGCAGCCTTGGAAATATTAAAGAAATTAGTGGAAGGAAGAAAGGAGACAACCCAGGAGGTTATCACATGTACTGGGGAGGGCATCATCTGCTGACGGAATCTGTCATATCTCTTAGCTCACAGTGTGGGGCGTTTTGTAAAAAACCTGTATGATAATGACTGTTATTGTGCAGTTGTAGTAAAAGTTTAAATAAACAGCAGTTATTTTCCTGAGAAGATAAACCCCAAATCTCCCTGTTCTTATGGATTTCCAGAGATTCCCCTTATTTATGTAACCACCTCAAAACACCTCATTCAATGGCTATGTCTTGGCTGAATGTTTCAGACATTGCCACCTCACAGGCAGAGTATACATTTGCTTTCAGGAAGAGCCAGAGGACAAGTGGTGCCTCTTGCCATCAGCCCCAGGGCAGCACTTGCCCCTCTGCAGTTCCCTTGCACACCAGCGCTCTGGGTCAAACAGACCCAGACCCCCCTTCCCATCCTGCTTTCTTTTCTTTATTCTCCTGCTGGAAAACAAGGAGGATCAGCCAGGCCTGTAGCTTCAATATTATAATGATTTGGTGGTGCTATTTGATTTTTTAAATGCCTTCTGCTGCTATGCTAGAAGAGGGTTTTCTTTGTGTGAGAAAGCCTTTGTTTGCCTGAAACAGGTTTTTCTCACCCCTGTATAAACACCACTTTGAAAAACTGCATCACAAAACCCACAGCAATTGTGATTTCAGAAAGAGAGCCTGGACTTGAAACTTCACATAGCTCTGCATCGAGGAGAGCGTGGCTTTCATCTGACAGACTGTTTAAGGATGGTTTGACCTCTCTCTTCCTTTACATGCTGGGAGTTAACTTCTCCTGTAAGTGTCCAGCATAAATTATTTTAATGCAAATTTCCTTGTCAAAACTACAAACACATTTGATCAAAGGTCAGCCCTCCTTTGTGTTCCTGTTTGATAGAGAAATTTCTATTTCATCTTTGACTGTCATGGTCGGTTAGGGGAACTGTAGCCTGATGGGAAATTACGGATGCATTTCATGTCTTCTCTCCAACGAGGCTTTGTTCCCCCCTTTCATATCTTTTGGGTATTTTAATTTGAATATGTTTTCATTTTTTTAAAATGGAATAGTTAAATTAGCTTTGAAAATGTAGTGGTGCGACACTGGAAATTGTCTGCTTTTTAAACTGAGGCTTGATATCCTGAGAGCTGATCAAATCATTATTTCCTCACTGCTGCCTGTATTTCATGATGGAGGAGGGAGCAGGGCTGGCCTCTGGGGCTGTAAAAAGTGCAGGGGTTGTTTGCATGAATGCTGTCATTTAGAGAAAGAGATGCTGTGGTTAGAGAGCTAAGGCTTGTAGGGCACCTGGGGGTTGGCAAACCTGTGTGGAGAGACAAACGATAGATCAGAAAAAAGCTGAACAACAAATGGCTGTGGAAGAACTGTCCTCCCTCCTAAATGGTTCCCCTTCCTCAATGAGAATGCACTTTAACATAAGGGAATGTTGCCTTCATACATAAAGCTACTTAAGACCAAGGCTTGGAAGACCCAGTCATGACTGAGCCACTGCCTCCTCCTCTCCAAACAGCTTCAGTTTGAGCTCCCAAGACCCGAACTTCCCCTTCTGCTCTGTAGCTTTGCAACCCTCCCTCAACACAAGCATCTCCCCATGGCTCTGTTGGAGCAGGATGACCAGAGCTGCTGATCTGTAACTCACAGGGCTAGGTTGTGTCTCCTCCCCACAAAAAAAGCCTTTTAAGCAATCTCTTCTCCTTTCTTGTGTCTCCTTCTCTTATCTTCAAGAACACAAGCTGGTTTCTTTTAGACTGAGATGGATGCGAAGCAGCTTGGATGTGCAGCGCTGTCCTTTGCCAGGGAAGACTTCGTCCTTCCTCAATATTTGGGACTAAGTCACCCCTCATTTATCCAACAGGAGTGAACACAATTTCAGCCTGCAGCGTCCCAACTCCCCTCCACCGGGTGACAGTGACACCAGATGGCAGCAGTGGCCTTCGGATCCCAGCAGCGCTGCCAGCTCCGAGCGAAGTGTTTCTCTGCACCCGGATATTTCGGGGACAGCTTTCCTGTGTTCTCTCCTTCGCTGGGGCTCAATCAGCATCCATATGGGCTGTCAGAAATAATTGCAGCGAGGATCTATATACTGCAGTTGTTTAGTGTGTCAAAATGACACACAGACTCCAACTTAAAAAACCAAGACAAAAACTCCTATCTCCAGTTGGGCTTTAATTAATCATTTTGTCACAGCTTTGATGGCTTTGGTGCTGCATTGACAGGTGAAAGCAAAGTGTAGGATCTGTGAAGGTCATGGGGATTTTTGGGTGCCTGGTTACAGTTACCATCTGTTTCCTGAGGAGCTGACAGTCGATCACTGATGACTCATGGCATCCTGCATCTTTGACCCTTGGTCCTAAGAGGCGCTGGGAGATGTTGGACAGTGCTGGCTGCACCATCACAGAGCCTCCTGCCTACTGTGAGTCCAGCCACTGCCCCATTGTAGAGTCGCCAGTGGAGTTAGCATTAAAACCATGGCAGAGACCAAAAGGCCACGGGCCGTGTCAAGAAGTGAGATTTTGGAGATACATTCACCTGTGAACCTCCTTTGCAGGTGTAGAACATGGGGCCCTGTGCAGTGTTCCCCAGGCAGAAATCCCTTCTGTCACTACAGGCCAGCTGGGAGATGTGTTGCAGGGTGTGCGTCCTATAGGAGGAACTGACTGCAAAGCAATCCTCACAGGTCAGGCAAAGCTGGCTCCATGTGGCTGGCTGCATCTCAGAAGACTTTCAGGACATGTTCCTGATGACTAGAAAAAGGGAAATATAGCCCCCATTTTCAAGAAGGGGAGAATGGATGACATGGGGAATTACAGACCAGTCTCACCTTTGTGCCTGACAAAATCTTGGAGCAGATTCTCCTGGAAGGCATGCTAAGGCACATGAAAATCAACAAGGTGCTTGGTGACAGCCAGCATGGCTTCATTAAGGGGAAATCCTGCCTGACCAATTTGGTGGCCTTCTATGATGGGGCTACGGAACTATGGACGAGGTAGAGCAGTTGATGTCATCTACCTGGACTTGTGCAGAGTGTTCGACACTGTCCCACACGACATCCTTGTCTCTAAATTGGAGAGACATCAATTTGATGGATGGACCACTCGGTGGATAAAGAACTGGCTGGATGGCCGCACGCAAAGAGCTGTGGTCAATGGCTCAATGTCCGGCTGGAGACCAGTAATGAGTGGTGTCCTTCAGGGATCTATGATTCTATGTGTGTATGGTTCATAAAACAAAATCATAGAATAGTTAGGGTTGGAAAGGACCTTAAGATCATCTAGTTGCAACCCCCCTGCCATGGGCAGGGACACCTGTCCAACCTGGCCTTGAACACTGCCAGGGATGGAGCATTCACAACTTCCCTGGGCAACCCATTCCAGTGCCTCACTACCCTTACAGTAAAGAACTTCTTCCTTACATCCAATCTAACATGCAGCTGGGCAAAATATTGCTTACACCACTTTTTTTTTTCTTGGAATAAATCAATTTAAGAAAGTCACATTAACTGCCTCGGCAGAAAGTTACTTTCTCATTTCAAATTACCATGTTGTAGTGCTTTAATCATCAAATCATAGAATCATAGAATAGTTTGAGTTGTAAAGGACCTTCAAAGGTCATCTTATCCATGCCCCCTGCAATGAGCAGGGACATCCAGCCTGGCCTTGAATATCGCCAGGGATGGGGCATCCACCACCGCTCTGGACAACCTGTTCCAGTGTTTTACCACCCTCTTTTAGTTCAAAACCATCACCCCTTGTCCTATTGCAGCGGTCCCTGCTAAAAAGTCTTCCATGTCTCTCTGATAGGCTCTTTTTAAGTACTGAAAGGCTGCAATAATGGGCTCTGTTTATGATGATGCCCAAATATTTATTGATTTTGTTACTGATCAGAAGGCTGCCAAGTTACCTGTTAGCCACTGGGCTACTCAGGAATTATTGGTGTACAAACTGCAAACAGAAGAAGGAAAAACCCAGCTTGGATGATGTACTGTTGTGTGTGATTGGCCAGACAGTGCCAGCAAAGAGAGAGAGTGGAGCTACATCCACTGGCAGGGGAAGGTTTCTGATGGACAAAAGCAGAGCAAGGCAGGCCAAGTGCTGCTTATAGTTCTGTCTGTGCTGGCCATGCTCCTTCAATGGATTTCTGAATGGTACCAAACCCAATTAAAATGGCAGTAAGGAATTCACACTGGCACACTTTAAAGCAGAGAGCATTTTAAGCAGTCTGACAGTAGAGAGTAATTTTGCTCAGCACTGGAGATGGACTTCTTAGATGAAATAGGAGAACTACTGAAACAATCAAGGAATCCTGTTAATATGCTTTTTTTCCTTTAGATATGAATAACCACATTTTCACCTCTCTCCTACTGACACTGACCTGGTCTGCAAACAGAAACAAACCACTTCAGCTTAATTTATACAGGCAGTGACCCTGCAAGATGCAGGACAGGAAATCTGGGTTCAGCTTTCTCTCCATTGTGCCCAGGAGCTTGAGGACACAGGAAAATCGCAGAAATGCCAACTTAAGTTTCTTTATGTCCCTCCACTGTCCCTGAGCAAACCACTGGTCTGGGCTCCTGGTGTCCCTATCACAGCCTGGTCATCCTGGAGAACCAGGAGAGGCTGAGATGGGTACCTCTTCAGTGTTACTCTGAAGTCTGGAACATGAAGCCCCTTCAGAAAGGACCAACAGTGTCTCCTACACATGAATAGCTTGAAAACCTGACCAATCTCACCAGATACCTCTGCTACCACAGAAAAAAGCTACCACCTAGAGCAGAGATTCTACCGGGGCAGCCAGGCAGAGCAGGCTGGACCCTTCCCCTGAGTTACCAGTACTTATGTCCAGCTGTATAACCTGAAAACAGCCATCAGCACATGAACAAAACTGGGTGTTCACAACTGAAAGAGGAGCTTGCACCAGCTTTGGATAGCAATAGTCTTTAGGCTTTGCAGCTTGGGATGCTAAGAAGGGGCTGCAGCATATTGCCTTGTAATAACATGAAGCAAAAACTCAGCACAAAGTCTGTGAACCAGATAAGATTGATTAAACAATTTCTAACCAACGGGGTTGCACATAAAAATTTTATTAAAACCTCAAGTGCTAATTTTATTTCCTGGGTCTGTCACTGCTATTTTTTTCTTTTTTTTTTTTTATTCAGTAGTGATAATTACTACATTAGAAATTAAATGAACCTCATATACTACATCTTTCAGACCTCCTAGGAGAGTTGTGAAAGTGATTTAGAGAAGTGAATTTGCTATTGTGCCTAATCAAGTTACAGTAATTGTCACCTATAATTTTAGCTTGACTGCTACGTGTTTAATTGGGAGCTTTGCCTTTGAATTTTTGTAACTGAGCTTCCCTGTGACTGTTCTCCTACTTCCCATCCCTTCCCAAACCCACTGACAGAAAACAAATCACTGCATACAGCTGTGCCATTAACAGCACTGCCGTTTGCTGCTACATTGGTTTCTTCATCAACCTGAGGTGCTGCAACATCAGGTGATTTTCCTTGCGAGACCAGCACCAGGTTGTCTCCCTCTAGGTCATTATCACAGCTGTGTAGGTATCAGTGGCAATAAAGGGGCTTTCTGGCCTACAGGAATCCTTAGTAGGGCTGTAAGTATTGCAGTACTCTGGGGATTGCAAAGGTAAGTCCCAGGACTGTCTTACATGTGTTGGGGTTCCTGCTGCTCTGCTCTCTACCTTGTCCTTCAGAGATGCTGGGCCATGTGCTGCCACCTTAGAAAAGCTTACTAATAAGTCCCTTAGTCTGATTGCCCCAGTCAGGCCAACAGATTTGCCCTCCATGAGCTTTGCAGGACAGCAAACTGCAAAGCAAGCCGAAGGGTTTCTAGGACAGCAAGATGAGACCTGCAGGTGAGCGGCAAAGTAAGATACAGTGGAGCCAAAGGCATCCCAATGCTTCTTAACAAGATCCCAAGCTACCCTGGTTGGAAGCTGAGTCAAGGGTAGGCTTGTGGAGGCTGCTAATGCTTCCTCCCAAGCAGACACAGTTAGTTTAATGCACAGGTTCCTTACTGTGGTCTGAGATCTGGGTCATTTAGTTCTAAAACAGGCCTGCTTGTTCCTCCTTCCCTTTTCTTGCTAAAGAAATGGGTTTAATGCACATACATATATGCGTGCATAAAGCCCGTTTCTAAGACAAGGGGTTTGCGCATATATAGACCCATGCAGACTTAGGCCGCAAGGAAATGAGGGTTTTTCTGGATTTAGGGAAGCTGGGGATAATTATGAACATGGGAACTCTAAATGCTTCATGTAATTATTGATCTTCAGCCCTCCTGGATGCTTGCCCAATATCAGATTGAAGAATGAGGCTGCTTCTGAGCAGGACAGGGACCTGCTGGAGAGAGTCCAGCGCAGGGCAACTAAGATGATAAAGGGAGTGGAGCATCTCCCTTATGAGGAAAGACTGAGGGAGCTGGGTTTCTACACTTTAGAGAAGAGGAGACTGAGGGGTGACCTTATTAGTGTATATAAATATATAAAGGGGGAGTGTCACGAGGATGGAGCCAGGCTCTACTCAGTGGCAAACAATGATAGGACAAGGGGTAATGGGTACAAACTGGATCACAAGAGGTTCCAAGTAAACTTGAGAAGAAACTTCTTCTCAGTGAGGGTGACGGAACACTGGAACAGGCTGCCCAGGGAGGTTGTGGAGTCTCCTTCCCTGGAGACATTCAAAACCCGCCTGGACACATTCCTGTGTAACATTATCTAGGTGTTCCTGCTCCGGCAGGGGGATTGGACTAGATGATCTTTTGAGGTCCCTTCCAATCTCTAGCATACTGTGTACTGAGCAGCCCTCTTCAACATAATGTAATACTTGCCCCACTGCAGTCACGTAATATATAAAACCTGCTTAGTTTAGGTTGGGATCAGGCTCTATGGTTTTAGACAGTCTATTATGGATCCTTAAAGATCCAGAAAGGCTACATTATGTTGATGCAATTAATGGCAGTTATTTGAAGCTATTTACCAATATAACACTCACAGAAATTGTGCTTGTGTGGCTTTGTGCTTCCATTCTAGAGTGATGCGTGTAGAATAGCAGTAACCTTGTCTTTGAATAATGCATGTTGTTTGTCAGCCACTCTTTAAGCCTTTGTGCTTAACCACAGAAGATTAGCGTTTTTGTTTCCTTTTTAAACAAAGGTTTGGGGTGGAGGGAAGTGGGGAGTGTTGGTTTCCTTTCTAGCTTACTTTAAACACTTCCCCAGGCTTTCAGTCTGTAACTTAGCTATTCAAATTGGGGTATTTTGACCTTAGAAGCATTTTTTGCTGGCTCTTAGGCCTGCCAAATTTTATAACTTTCTAGTAAATCATGAATAAGTTGAAAGGCTGTAGAGTTTTCTTCCTAATTTCTCAAGGGTCCTTTTATTTCCTAATTTGTTTTCATCCCATGTTATTTACTAACTGTAACCAACTCTTCTGGTATTGTTCCAGTCCACAAGTGTGGGAAGGTTTGGCAGGTAATGTGTAACAGCAGAAGGGGTTTGAAAGATCCTGGCCTTGAAATGAATATTGTTGGTTGGAAATTGGACTGCATTCATTATGTGCTGGTGTTCTTCTGAGCTTTGTCTTCGAGTAAGGATGCCCCAGTGGTGTAAGCTAGGGTTCTGAGGTGATGCTGAATTGCACAGCTGCAGCACAGAAATACTTAGCCTCAAAATCAACAGGATGTAGTTGAACCTTAGCAAATTAAGGCTTGGGGGTACATTTTCTTTGCATCTGTTTTGGGGTGAAAAGTAGTGTTTGAGGGTGTTTCACTTAAATTGAAAGTGAATTTGCCATACCGTATTTCAGGGAAGGAGGACAACAGAGGTAAGACAAAGGGTTTGCAGTACCACTAGCTGATGGGATGACAACAGGAGGCAGCTCACTGAAACCAGCCTGGCAACCTGACGGGGAGCTCCTGACCAAGAAGTCACTCAGTCAATGACATAGCTCCCTTGACTGTGTCTGGATCCACACTAGCACCTCATATCTGAGTCATCACTGGCACACAGAGCAGGCAAGACCTGTTGGCAAGAGCATATCACTGAAGGGGAGATGTTTGGGTTGTCATGTTGACAGATTTAATACAGAAATGTTGATGTGTGTGAAGAGCTCTATGGTCATATTTGGTGAAGGAGAGGTTGGGGTGAGATCATGGTTATAAGGAAACAAATTCCCTATTTCTGCAAGGCATCTCTGATTTCCACACTTATGTGTGTTCTTTTTCCATGCTCTTTATTCAACTTTGAATCCCCCTCTGATGTGCCAGGTGAGGTCTGCCAGGGGATGGGGTGACAGAAGCTGGTACATGGCCACGGCTATTTGTGGAGCACTGTGGTGTGACAGTCACAACTTCCTCTGGCAGTTGGGTTGGACTATCTCCTTTTTGCCGTTGCTGCTGCTTTTCTTTTTCTCTTTATGCCATAACATTTAGGAAACAAAACCAGAATGCTCTTGGAAAACAAAATGGATTTTTAGAGACTGCTGTGTTACATCCCAAACTTTGCTGTGCAAACTTTCCAGTCAATCTAATTTTCAAAAATGCTGGCACTGAGCTTCTCACCCTTCCCTTATTGATACCATTCAAGCCTCTTCTTCTGGAACTGCAGTTTGTTCTCTGTCGTGTGTATTTCAAGAGCCAGTCCACAGCTCCCACACTGACATGTGGTTGAAATGACAGCTCCAGCTTTCACACACTAGTGCACTGTAGTCGCTGGGGAGTTTCTCTAGTTTCTCTGTTCCTGCTCCACTATTAGGTTTCAAATCTCCCTGCTGAGTAGCTGTCCTCAAGTCACATCAGGTAAGCTTAGCTATGCATTGAATTCGGAGAGTGGAACTAATCCCACATTTCAGCTTTAGATAGAGAACAATGAGAGAGGGAGCTAAGCCTGGCCTCTGTCTGCAAGGTAAGGGTTTTAATATATTAAAAGAAACAGATGCCCTACTAAAGCATGTGTGTTGCATCTAATTGCAGGTCTACATCTGAGCTGAATGCCAGGCCTACATATTTGAGTTAAAATACGTATAATGCATAGCGTATTACACACATGTCTAAATTACGTGTATTGTTCAATGTGTGTATGTTTTGGTTCATTACTCCTGACAGGAAAGCTGTAATGCCAGGCTCAATAGTCTGTATAAATTCAGGAAGCTACTATCATTAGCAGAAAGGAGCCAAACATGCTTCTGCTTTCCCAACTCTTGACACTTACATCCCCAAGTTTCATCTCCACCGCTCTGTGGAGGAGTGACTGGCTCACAGGGAATTTTCTCCCAGCATTCCCTTTGTCTGAAGGGGACATTTATATTGACTATGCTAGAAGTGAGTTTAAATTCTTTCAATGATAAGATGAATCTTTATTCAGATCTGAATTTATAAAATCCTTATTTATAAAGATTTGAATCTTTTAGCTGAAAGGAGCAGATATGCTAGCTGCTAAAAATGGTACTTCATTGTCTTACCAGTTCCCCAAAGTGCACTTGCTATTTTCTTTGGCAAATAGAAGAAAAATTAAATTTTTCTTCATTTGAAATGTAAAAAGAATGGTGAGGGAGTGCCCCGAGATCATGCCTGCACAGCGCATGCTAGAAATGAGAACAATCTCTGCAAGAAGTGGCTTTAAAATTACTTTCCCTTTTAGCATTTATACTATTGCTATGATTAGTAAAAGAACTGAGTTCTGAGTGCGCTCCATGCCTATGACGAGCAAGCACAATCAATGTGAGAATGAAAGTCCTCACTCATTCTCCCTGCCCTTCAATTCCCATGCTCCTTGTGTTGCTGATGAGCTTTGCCTTCAAGTTTGTTTAGGGCAGCAGGAGTCATGGGTCACTTCCCAGCAGGTAGACGAGCCCTTCCCAAGCCAGGTCTTGGGAGGGATTGATGAGGTGCTGAGGCCTGAAGACTTCCCAAGGAGCTGATGGGTGTGTGGGCCATAGTTGACCCAGCCATTCCCGCAGTCATGTTTGTAGGCTTGCTTTCTTGGAATCCCTTCCCCTTTCCACCCAACAGCAAAAAAAGTGAATGCCCTGCTAGCTCCAAGTATCACATGAACCATTTTATCTTAACTATTTTTGCTTGGAAAGCTCTTCTTTATTCTTCTAGGTTAAAGAGCAGGCATGTTGTCTCAGCACAGTTAAATCCCACAGCTTATTACCATGAAATACATGAGCTTAGAGGATATGAAAGTGTTCCATCCAAGAGGATATGAAAGTGGACTGCCCAGAGAGAGTTCAAGGCCTCCTCTATGAGGACCACAGTTCCAGACTTTAAAGGCGTGTCAGTATTTTCAAAAAGGAAGGTTGCAAAATGGCCTTTTAAACCGGCAATTGTTTTCCATATATCATCAAAGCAGACTCTTGGAGGAGCCATGCAGTTTGGAAGGGTTCCTCTGCTTCAGGGGTGCAATGGCAGCATGTGCAGGGAGAGTTCGGCTGGCTGCAACTTGACTGGCTCAGAGACCCAAGAGCAGGTTAATCACTGAAGCCTTTAGAGCCTAGATTGGGTGTCTGGTGTGTACTGCAGCTGGCATCATTGCAGCTTTACTGCTGCTAGTATGTCCTTGGTGTGTATATACATAAGTATATACCTGAACGACCTTATCTGAAGGAGGGCGGGGTTCAAATGGGAGAAAACCCTGTTGTCCATCTTGCTCCTCTGGAATCCAGAATGAGTCATCTTCCTTTCTGTATATTCAAACACAGTATTTGCAAATAAGGTCTAGGAATCCACCCATTGTCTGACTTCCAATTATCTGATTTACTCCGCTGCACAGGGATTTTAGAGGAAATAACCTTTCATTCTTTTTAACACACAACCATTAAATACACTTTTACAGTCAATAACAGACCAGGATTCTCTGAGGACCTCAGCTCAATGTCTCTCCATTCAACAATAAAGCTACTGACCACAATGAGATAAGGATCTAAAGCCACAATCAGAAAACAAAAGTTGCCAGTACCCAGAAATATGTAAACTGAAGTTGTCCTGAACAGTGCAACATTCCAAATCAAGCCATAGAACATAAATGATGCAGCTGAGTTTGGGTGAGTCAAGTAAATAAGGGCAGGTAATGAGACCTGTATCTCAACCCACTACTTCAAAAACCTAGTACCAGGTATTAAACTTACTTCCTTATGAAAGCTGATCCACTGGGCTTTCCTCTATACAAGAAAGCAAATACAGGGACACTTCTAAAAATATTCACACTATCCATTACCCTTTCAAGGATGTTAAATTTGTTTATGATTGTTACCTTTCTGCATTCAGTGAACAGGTCTATAACCCCACACTGCCCCATCTTGTCAGACAGCATTGACTCAAAAATGCCCCTTAAGAATTAGACATCTGCTAAGACACTTTTTTTATGCAATGGGCCTTCTGAGTTATGAAAATAACTGCAGTGTATTAACCTTTCAGAGTTCTTCAGGCTGAAAGACTGAAGGGGAGAGATACTTTCCTTCCTGTTGCAGCTCCAGGGATTGTCTCTTCTGTATTCAACTTCTTTAAAACACACACAGAACAGTTACTGAAGGGAGAAAGAGCTAAGAAACTCAGCAGCTCTAAGCAATAACTTCAGAATGGCCCACTGGATGGTATTGAGTGGTTGAAGTTTACTGTACTATCCCTAAAAAGAAACAAATAATGGTTGCAGCTATGCCAGCTCCCCCAGTTAAGAAGGAAAATGAGTTTGCTCTTAACCTTCATGACTTGTTCCAGCAGAAGTGCTTTATTTTTTTTCTCTCCCCTTTCCTTAGCCATCTGTACTCTTTGGGAAGTGGCTACACCTTTCCCCTGGTTGAATCCCATTCTGACTAGTGGATGGATCAGTTTACACCTACATTAGCGCATTGAAGTCCTAGCTCTTAACTGTAAGAGCTGACCAGGCCATTGGTGACCTGGAGGTCTGTCTGGGTTTTTTACATGCAAGCTGCAAAGTTCTAGTAACACACACATGTAGGTAGAAGCAAAAGTGGATGCAGAAGAGAAGGGGCAGTAAGAAGTTACTGCTCTTCTCTGTTGTGGGCTTCATCCAGCATTACAAGGTTTGGTTTTGTCTGGGCCCACTAGATGTAGAGAGGAGGTAGCTAGAAGGGTTTGGAGATGAGTTTAAACTACTTGTTGCAGCACAGTTCTGAGACAAGCTCAGGAACATGCCTCCTCCTGCTCTGGATGGGGCACATTCCACCTTTGTGTGTGGTTTGGTTTAGAGAGTGGCCCAGAACCCTGCCGAATATGGATCATATTTGCCAGTGAGAGGGATTTTGGAGACTCCAGGTATGATACACAGTGTTTGGTCCAAAGCTGCAAGAAGCTGCTGTTTATTTTTCAAGTGGTGCTTTTAGATGGCTTTCAGGAATAAGAAATTAAACATGCACAGATGTGCATGAAATACTGACATAAATATGTTATCTACAGTTAATTCAGTCTCTGAATGCTCCAGTGGAGCCACATTTTTTGGTGGCAGCCAGGCTCTGATGCACCCCTCTGTAACAGCCAAGAGAATCTTAAAAGTCATGGCATGTTAAGGAGGGATGATCATAAAAATATGATTAGAGACTTGACAAATCTGAACAGAGCTCATACATGGAGTCTGCTGTAACCCAAGCAGCGTCATTCCCTTTGAGGCTGCTGTTGGGTTATACCTGCTGGACCTCTTCTTTTTGTCCCCTGTGTAGAGCAGATCCAGTGGAGTTCTGATTTCCCATCTCTACGCAGATACCCAAGCCTTCTGTGTTAGGCTCCTAGTAATGACAGACTGCTCTTGGGAAACTTTATGTCGATGATGAATGAATGGGTATTTTCCTCTGAAGTGGCTGCTCCAGAATACATCACTCTCACATCATCTAAACAATGCTGGTCATCCACATTTCCAGTAGCTGCTGGGACTCCTGAAAAGGGTAGAGCTTGTCATTCAGAGATAAGGAGGGATTAGCTCTGCGATCTCAGTCAGCCTTAAGAGGAAGGTTAAAAACTTTGGGAGAAGGAAGTATGTGTGTGCATGCACATGTGTCTTCCAAAACAACAGATGGTTTCAATAAAGTTGCTCCTGCTGCTAGGAAGTGGCACTTCTTGACATTAGCAGAGCCATATCTCATCAGGGTTCTTGTTTCTACCAGCCTGTCTCGGCAAAGTTAAATCCACTGTACTGTATGTGGTAATCAGAAAAGGCACTCTGATATCTGCCCCATTAATTGCCCCCTGCCGGCTTTCCTTCTCTCTTGATGTAAGGCCCACTGTGCTCAGTATGGAGGGATCTATCAGATTTGAAGGGCAACCTTAGCTAATGATCTGCAATTCCCCCTACTTAAACTGCAGCAAGAGCTGTCCTTTTAAGGATCCTGCAAGAAATGCATTATTTCTGGGAACCGCTAAACAAAAACCTCTCCACTTCAATCGATACATCAATGTATTAAATTATTGTGCAACTAAATTAATGTGCCCCTTGGTGACAGGATTGCAGAAAATGAGCAGTGTTTTATGCATTAAAGCCAAACTGGTAAAAGATTGTTTTCAAGGTTAGATTGTGCCATAGTGAATATCAAGATTTTTCCTATTAAAGTATGATGGGGTTTCAGAGTGCAGTTGTCACCTCTATTGCTTCTTACAGACTCACAGCACAAATTAACATGTACAAATAACTGAAGAGTTGTAAATATTAGTTATTGAGACATCTGGGAGACAGCAAGGAATATTATTTACTAGTATTTGATTTGAATTTTATAATTAAACAGTTCTGCTGGAAATTAATGCCTGTTTTCTTACCTTGAGTAACTGATTAAAAGAGACCTTTCAATGTTGCTGTAAAAGACTAAAAAGCTGGTTGAACAACCCCCTAATTCTATTTTTCTTTACATTTTAGTCCAATTGCATTTATTATCTTCATTTTCCTGGCAGGAGGCAGTATGAAAAGTCTTACCTAATACTGAGTAGCAAGAGCTGGCATTATTCAAATGCTCTGTGCATTATCTCTAGCGCAGCAGGAGCACAGGGGGTGGCTTGGGCAGTTCCCTACCAGATGACCCAAACCAATAATTTGCCAAAGATAGGAGGCTTTCTTGGTCTCTGTGTTGAAGGCAGATGAACCACAGCTCTCTAATTAACTTGTTCTGTAGGTGTAATGAAGGAAAGCATCTCAACAGGCTGAGAGAGTTGGGCTTGTTCAGCTGGAGAAGGCTCCAGAGACCTTAGAGCAGCTCCCACTGGCTAAAGGGGCTGACAAGCAAGCCAGACAGGAGATTTTGACACGGCTTGTAGTGACAGGACATGGGGGAATGGCTTTAATCTGCCAGAGAGGAGACTGAGATGAGCTCTTAGGCAAAAGTTCTTCCCTGTGAGGGTGCTGAGGCACTGGCACAGGATGCCCAGAGAAGCTGTGGTTGCCCCATTCCTGGCAGTGCTCAAGGCCAGGTTGGACAGGGCTTGGAGCAACCTGCTCTAGTGGAAGGTGTCCCTGCCCATGGCACTTTCCCCACCAAGTGTTTTCAGATGTATGTTTTCAAGCTGTATCTGAAGGAATGATAAATTAAGTGTGAAGCTAAAGCATAGGTGAAAGCATCCCAGTCCCTCAACAACCACGACCTTTTGGATTCTTGCAACATGTCAAAATGGTATCACTAGTTTCAGTGCATTGCTGACCAACAGAAAATGTAAACCAACCAAAATACAAACCAACAAAACCACCCTACCCAAACTAAATAGAATATCGATAAAGGAATTGACATCAATATGTCTATCCATAGCTCCCCTGTGTCTCCTGGGAAGCCAAAATCCATGAAATCAAATAATTTCATCAACAGCATGCAAGTAAATTAGTGTCAGCACCAAGCTGAGAACCCAATATTCTGACTTGTAGCTCTGTGCTTGAATAGAGGGCCTGCATCGCTTTGCAGGCAAAACAATGACGGAAGAGAGAAAGAAAAGGATGCAGCAGATGCAAAGGGAGCTGGAACTCATTAAGCATCTTGTAATTTCTGAGAGAAAGGTTCCAAAATTTGTGTGTAATGCAAATGCCATTTCTAATACCTAGCTTCAGCATGTTAGGTGACTGACAGAGATTTCAGAGCAACTTGCACAGGCACATGCTTCTCATTTTGCACCTCAGTGATCCAGTAAATAATATGCAGAGATAGGTGAAAAAGCAGGTCCTTGTATTTCTGTGGGTGTGCTCGATTGTGCTAAGTCTTCTAAGTACTAAGGACTAATAGTGAAGGCTTCCACAGAGGAGAGGAGTGGTGGCATATTACACTTGAGAAGACTTCGAACTAAGATAAATAGTTGATACCAATGCCTCTTGAAGAATATTTAAACCTGTTTGTATCGCAATTTATGTGCTTCACCAAAGGCCATACAAAGGTAAGCTATTTCAAGAAAAGCTTTCACGCCAAAGTATGGTTCAACGTGGTATCTGTATTAAAAAACATTCTATGTTTTGCTTTTGCATTTTGAATGCTAATCCAGTCCGGCCCAAGTGTCCCCAGCAAAGGAAATGAGCTGTATCAGGCAGTATAATTTGCTGCAAGGTAAGAATAGAGGTATTCTTCTTCCCTCCGTTTTACATTCCAAGGGACAATTTCACAGGCCATGCCATTGCTGAATGGGGAAATTGGAAAAACTGCAGGATTGATTTGCAGACGCAAAGTTCTATTTTCTTTTATACCTCCTTCTTCAGCACCTCTATCATCCCTGTGCTATGTGGCGTTAGTATTGACAACAGCCTGGACGCCACTGATAATTGCTAAACTGGGAAAAAGCCGTGCCTTGCAAGTGAAAGGAAAGCCATGTCAACAGCAGGCAGACGACACCGAGTGGTACTGTTCTTGCCTTTAAATTCATCCACTTTAGAGCACTGGTGACGGACCCGTGTTACTGTTTCTGAGAATTAAAGGGAAATGTATTTTACAAATATAATTTAAATTGGCTTGGCTTGCAGTTTTTAACAGAACTTCCCAGCTAGAACCTGCAAAGTTGTATTAAATCTATTTTCATCAAATCCAGAGAAACATACTGGACTTTGTCATGCTTCCATTATGGTTAATTCTTCATTAACTGCATTTCACAAAGGAGGAAAAACTCCACTCCTGCAGCAAACTTCTGAGAATGACTCAGTTACCAAGAACGAAACCAGTGGCCAGTGGCTGGAGAGAACTGGAAAAGCTGGTGAATATCAGCCCCTTGATCTCTGGGATGGAGAGAAATGTGCTTTTGTGGTATTAAAGGTCACTGCCAACAAAATGGTTGCTTGTTTGCTGGAGTTGTTCAGCTGCTCTGTGTGTAGGGCTGGTTCAGCACCAGCCACACTGCGCTGGGTGCTGTGAACAATGGTAAAATAAAGACTCCTGGCGTGATGAGCTTTCAGACTAAGCAGTCCATTATGCTCTTCATTAAAGGTCAATTCCGCCTTGCACAGCTCTGGCTGCCCTGCCCCAACCACATCCTTGCGTTATTAGGATGATGGCAGGCATTTTCATCTACCCCGTTTCTGCCCGTTTTCCAGCAGTGCCCATGGTGGCTGCTCTGCCCGGCCTGCTGGGCCCACAGCTTCTGGGTAATGCCTCTGCTCCACTTTGGGAGGGTCTGCAAGTCCGTGAGAGCAGGAGAGGCAGCACAAGGGCTGATAAAGCAGGAAGCAGGATGGGTTTATTTGCGTGGAGAGGCCATTTCTGCTGCGTGCACTAAAGAGCGGCAGACTCACAGCAAGGTGCTGAAGGATGCCCGCTCCCCCCGGCCTGAAGGCCCCAAAATGGCTGCTCCGCCCTGGGGCGCGTTGCTACGCGACGGGCAGAACCCGTCCCCACGTCCCCCTCCGCCTCCTCCTTTAAGCTACAACACCCAATCAGACCGCCCCGCGGAGAACTACAACTCCCGGCATGCCCCGCGCGGCCGGGGGCGGTGCACCGCCCGGATGGAGGCACGCACTACATTTCCCGTCAGGCTGTGGGGGTTGTGGCCAATCAGCGCGTCTCAGGTTGGCCGGTGCGAGGAGCGGGGTTGGCTTCCGCGGGAGTAAGCGGGCCGCGGAGAGGAATCGGAGTGGGTGACATTTCCTCTCGGGCCGCCCCTCTCTGCCGCTGCCTGAGCGGGGCCCCGAGAATGGCAGCGTTAGGAGGTCGGTGCGGCCGGGCCAGCCGTGTGGGGGAGCGGGCTGGAGGGGGAAGCGGCTTGTGGGATGGGGCACTCGGGGTGGGGTGGCTGCTGTGGGGGGCCTGTGTGGTGAGGGATGTCTGGGGAGGGGAGGCACACAGAGGAGGGGAGTGAAGCCTTTTATCTGGGGGGTGGCCGTGGGGAGAACCGAGGTGGGGGTCGCTGGGCTGAGGGGTGGATGTGAGGGGGGACGGGCCCGGGGTGCTTGGATGAGGGGCCTGCGGTGTGGGGAAGGTGATGGCAGAGGAGGGTGTCCGAGTGGGTTGTGTGCAGGGGTGTGAGGTGAGGGATGGTGTATGGGCAGAGAGCAGGGCCGCGTGAGGTGTGCGGCAGGGCTGGGCTTTGTTAGGGTAGAGGGAGGGTTTCCTGAGAGGGGCACCTCAAAGCTTGTGGTCTGTGTGAGGGGAGCTCAGCCGAGAGGGGTTGTGCTTGATGAAAGGCGTCTATGAACGTGGATGTGTGGGGAGTGGAGAAGGGAGGGGGGTCTGAGAAATTAACGTGGAGAGTGTTTTGGGGTGATGTCTGTGAGAAACAGTTAAAATTTTGAGATGCAAGTGAGAGGAATATTGACAGAGGATAAAGATCCTTGGGGCAGGATAAGGGAAATGAAGGTGATTAAAATGATTGGGAAGGTTTTATGGGGTGAAAGCTGAAATGTGGATAGTGTAAGGATTAAATAGAATACATGCATGAGTACCTATTCTAGCACTAGAAGGTGGCTTGCTCGTATTTGCTCATTGCCCGAGTTACTGTCAGGGTCAGAAAAGAACTGTTTTACATCTTTTTCACTGTTAGAAAAATAAACTCTCCTGCAGTAGTAGCTACATCAGAGCTTTGTGTACATCAAAGCTGTGGTAGGTAGGAAGCCTTGGAACCGATTTAACAAAGTATTGTTTACTTGGAATTTGCTCGCTGGTGATTGAAACTATTTCTAAACAAGCACCAATTCTCCACTTCCCTAATGATTGGTTTGAATGTTGGAGCTCAATTAGTGTGATAAAGTTGAATCCCCTATTGTAGATTTTACCTGAAGTATTTACTATTGTATGGGAGGAGTAGGGTGGGAGGGATGAAAGTGTTTTGAAGACTTTTCCTAACAGTACTTTATAGAGACACTGATGATATTTGGCCCCAAGCCTCCCTGGGAAATGTGTGCCCAGCAGCAGATCCCCATTGATTTAATTGTGCCTGCTCAAAGCTGTGTCTTAATTCTGAGTAAGAGAAACTGTAACTGCTGTTTATCGCTACGAATTAGAATTGAAATTTCCTATTCATTATCGGCATTGTTGTTTGCTGTCCTCTTTGCCCCTTTGTGTTGCCTAAAGTTTGTTGGAAGCATTCTCTGTTGCAGTCAGCAGCTTTACCTGATTTGCAGCTCTTGCCACCTAATGTTTTTCTTTTGAGCTCTCCTTTGTTGTTGTTGTTGCGTAAAAATT